GAGGTAATTTCCACTCCCTCGGTTATTACTATTTCAGAGCAATTGTAGACGTTTGTTTGCCTTGAGTTTCGCCTCTCAGGCTCCATGCAGACTATGATAAAGGTTATTGAGGCTTTATGCAGCCTGAGAGGCCCGAGAGACCTTCAGACACTACTCGGAGCTGGAAAGATACTACCAACTTTTTTTCCAGGGTTTACAATCTATTTAATGGTGAATATTCTCCTAAAAAGATCATGAGCTTAAAGATTATAGTCAAAGACAAGGCAGTAAGGTATGTAGCTCTTGTATCATGTAACAATAGAGATTCCCCTAGTATTTCAATACATTATAGGAAGTACAATAACCAACTGTATCATCATTTTTCATTTGATAGACTGGTCAAATGTATATAAATAACATATATAGAGATCCTGGTTAGAAATACTGAAACAGCTTACTTATGAATATTAAGAATAGGTCATTACATCACAGCCTAATAATGCAGGTTAATATGGTCAGAAGAAGGTTTTTTTTTTTTAGGAAATACACAATATGGCAAAAGTATATGGACAGTCCAGTTCGTGTAGGCTGCTTACACATGAAGGTTTTTTAGCCTGTAGGTCTCTGGAGCAGATATTTCAGACAACGGTGTGTCTATAATAAAGCCCTTTATGGGACCACATCTCTGCGAGCAGGGGTACAAAACCTTGTGGAAAGTTTCCCCAGAAGAACTGAAGGGTTTAAAACGAGGTGTTCAGTCACATGTGAATGTAACGTTTGGGTGTCCCAGATACTTTTGGCCATCTAGAGAACAATTTGTTTTTACCACCTTTTTAAAGGATGTCGTTATATACAAAGGGGAGAAACAACGTGAGCCAACATGTGAGAATAACCAAACTCGTTAGTGCGGGTTTCCCTCTGTGGGAGAAGATCCTGCAGCCTAAAGGACGGTATTGTACACGGCGTTTATTGCACAATCTTATGCACATACGGTTTTAGACAGAACATATCGATTATATCAAACTGATCTGATAGATTATTGATGCATTGGGTGCAGTGTCTCTGTCCGCGGTGCTGAAAGTCTCCTGCAGCGTTTCACTGTTGATCCGGAGGAAGAAACAGATCGATTCATACAAATCAGCATTTACTGTCCCTAAATTTAACTTGTGTTATATAAGGCTGACTGAATTTAATTTCTAATTGAAGCCATGGTACATGAATTATATGTCAGCCTCCGTCTATAAATCTAACCAGGACAGCTACCATTGAGGAGTCCCTCAGTACTGTTTCTGGGAATTATGAGAATTTTAAAGGAGTCTAAATGTTACAATTACACACAAACTGCATGTGTGGGTGTTTTCAAATGTGGCTTCTTTAAATAATTATTATTTGTTTTAAAGTAAAACATTATGAAAGAAATTTACTGAAAGCATAACTGAACAATAAGGCTCAATAAATAAATAAATAAATAAATATATATAACACATTTACATTGTTGCTGTGTGTTAAAACCTTTTTAAGATGGTTGCACTAATTACCTTTGTATTCCTTTAGGACTATAATTCCTTATTATAGTCCTAAAATCCAGTGTATTGTTTTGTTTTGTTTTGATTTTATCTTCTCCAACAGGATACCTACCTGCTTGTATAATATCTAACATCTAACTTCATCTGACTTTATTCTGATTGAAACAACAACAAAAAAAAAAAAAAACAGCCACACACGGTGTCAAAGTGCTTCTAGGATCCCCATGTGGATCCCTGTAATGTATCACAACCACCAGGGGGTGCCACTAGCACGCAGTTTCCATTCTTCAGGTCCTCATGATGGCGATGCAGTGAAGCCTTATGAAACACACCATAAATGAGATTGTTTCTTATTCTTTGAAAAGAAAAACCTGTCCGATGGGGAGAAAAAACATCGGCCAGGTCACAATAGTAAGGGACGAAGCGCGGACACACACACCACACACACACACACACACACACACACACACACACACACACACACACAAGCCTCGGAATAGCTTCATTTCCACTGAAGGGAAACACTGAGGGGTTTGTTAAGGACTATTTTGACATAAATTCGCGGCCTTCGCACAATGAGCAGACACAAACTTCCGCTGTGGATTTATTTGGTCCTAGGAACAAACTATTTTGATGCTGGTTTTTTTTTTTTTTGTGTTTTTTTTCAAAAGATCATCCAGTGAGTTCTGGTTTAACCTTGTAAACAACAAGCATTGGGGGAGGTTAAAAAAAGGTTAGTTTGAGTGCGGAGAGGATGGAGAGTGCTTTGGATGACAAACGAAGAGGATGGAGAACAAAAGCCCCACTGAAAGGGGACAAGTTCCCCTGCTAAGGGACCTCAACCACTTCAGGAGGCGTGTTGGGAAGGAAAACAGAGTTAAGCCTCCATTGTTGCTATTATTATTATTATTATTATACAGTATATATATAATTTGTTTTCTTTATGCAAAATGTCGAGACAGAGAACTTTAAAGGTGAATTGTGAGGACACTTCAGGGACAGCAGCGAGGAAGAAAGTACTCAGCTCTTTTACTTAAGAGTAAAAGGAGAAAATAATAATTTTACACTTAAAATTCAAGCATAAAAATAAACAAGTACTCATTATGCAGAATCATATATATTACTGATAATTCAATATTGACACATAAGCATCACTAATGTTGCAGCAAACGCTTATTTTAAATTATATGGTAGCTTTAATCTATAATAATACATCATGATTTAGTTATATTATTATACACTTCATTGGGTAGTCTACTATATAGGCTACCACAATCCAATACAACAGCTCCACCATAACATCTACCATAACAGTGCTCATAATAGTCAGTTTTTGTGTAACTGTCTAAACTTAATTATATGTTTATTACTGAGGTCATACAGTTGTGCATTATTCTTCTTTTTTTAAAATGTAATTTACAGGGAGGAAGAATATTAGAATCACCTCTTGTATAATTCAGTCACTATGACCTCAGTGCTTTAACATATAATGTATTTATTGTATGACAGTGTCAAAACAAACACTGAATATCACAACAGTGGACAGGTTGTATTGGATTACATCAGACTGTAAATAAAGTGAACACTGGGTGTATTTTGTTTTAATAATCTGAATCTGCAGAACAACTAAAGAGCCCAACTAAAGCTGTGTGCAGTGGAGTGAAAGGCAAGATATTTAAAGTAAAGCACATATAGTACAATAGGTTAAATGTACTTATAGTTAAAATGATCTGCAGAGCATCACAGCATAAAAACAAACACATCCCTCTGGTTGTCCTTTTACTCCCAGATTATAAAAACATAATGTTGCTGTAGATTAAACATTAAAACTCTGTATTTTTAAACGGTTTCTGGGTCCAAACCATCTGCATGTCTCCAGTTGTCAGTTATTAAATCACTGTGCAACACTGAAGAAAAATGTGGAGCTACCAATATGATTAAAGGCAGACCTGTCGCTTTGACGTTACATCACAAGCTGGGCGCGTTTTAAATGTGTTTATCTTAGTAGTTTTAGTGATGTGAAGCACTGATTTTGTCCACCAATGTAAAAACTATCGTTGTATATAAACTGGTTTGGTTGTGAATCTACGTTGTTCACACACATTTGATCTTCCTGACAGACAAAAATCAGGTTCAAGGTAGCAGGTGCAGGTAAAAGACAGCCAATCAAGGCTGTGTTATTCAATAGCTGTTGTTGACTGTTGATCAACTCGTGATTGCAAAAAATAAAAATAAATACAAATAAAACCGCAATATATGAGTCTAACAGTGGCGAGAAAGTACAGAGCTGGGCTAAAAGCTTTTGAGCATCAGTAATGGACGGTTCAAAGTTGTTTGACTCCGCCATCTCTCTAAAAGATGGAAACCTGAAGACGCTTATTTAAAAAAAAAGAAAAGAAAAGCACATTAAAGGGTTCAATTTGTGCGCCTGTTGATGTGACTGAAGAAGCACAAGTTCACTTTACACAACTGTTGCAGTGCAAGGCCTCCTCACCTTCATCCTCTCAAGCTTGGTACGGCAACTTAAGAGAGGAGACAGCGGGACGAGGTCGCTTTCTACAGCATCTCGTATCTGTGACCTTCTTTCTGTAGGATATAACAGGATATTCTGTATGGCAGCAAAGCTACATTTAAAAAAAAAAAAACCCTCTCTCCTCCAGATCAGAGAGTTTGCCCTGTGAACTTCTCGCCTTGGTTTGACTCAGGCAGACATATAGAGGCACTTTCAAGGACTGCTAGAGAGGGGAAACGCTTTCATTACGTAGGGTCTAACCCTAACCCTGTGTACTTTTAATGTTTAATCTTATTTGTTTTTATTTGTTCCTGTATCATTTAATGAAGCTGACCCACAGCGAGTATTAATTAGTAGCCTACTAGTATTAGTCTTAGTACTTGTAGAATATAATAATAATGATGTATTTCTAAACATTTTGCTACAAAAATAAATATTTAAACGGTTTAAGGCGTAATCGAAAATAGCTAAAAGCATCAGATCTGCACAGATACACAGGCAGGCTGTCATGTATGAGCAGACACTTGCTGACAAACTACTGTGTTTCAGAGTGGCTACACACTGAACGATGCTGACATATTCAATAACAATAAAGACGTATAGACAAGGCCGAACCCCCTCTCTTCAACCAGTGGTGGAAGAAATGTAGGTTATAATTTACCTCAGTAACAGTACTAGTACCACACTGTGTAAATACTCCACTACAAGAAATAATAAAGTATCTATAAAGTAAAAGTAAAAGCAGCCCTACTCATTGTGCAGTAATGCGTTTTGCTGTTATAGCTGATGTTTTTGAGTTTACTTCTGCATTAATGAGTATATGTTGCATTTACTGCTGTAGATGTTTAAGGTTGAGCTCATTTTGACTACTTTATATACTGTTTGGTGGTTGAATCCACAGCAGTGCATCATATTCTACCACTCTCTAAAGAACAGCCCTGTTTTCAGTTCTGTGAGAATGCATTTTACAGCTAATTCAAGAAGGTTTCTAAATAGTTTATTTAGATTAAGAAGTGAGAGAATTTCCTCAACCCATAAAGGAACACTTAATCCTTCAGTTTATCACAAAAAAATCAAAATCACCACATTTGGAGTTACATGGTTTCCAATGGAGAGGAAGAGTATGGAAAACTGTCATCTGAAAAGTGACTTAATGTCAGACAAATGTATAAAAAGCACAGTATTCGCCTCTGTAGTAGAGTGGAAGTAAGTAGCATTAAATGCAAGTACTCAAGTTAAGCACAAGTACCTCAAATTTGTACTTAAGTACGGTGCTTGAGTAAATGTACTTAGTTACATTCCACCTTTGCCTTCAACACATATCACAACCAACGCTGAGAGAGCCTCCACTAACGCAAGATAACCGCACTTATCTGACAACCTTTAACTTGTCAAAATACTCTGAAATAGTTGGTGAAGTCAGATCAGCGTAAACATACAGTCAGACAAAATAACAGGGTGAAATGTTTTCTCCACAATACCACCAGCTCGGAAATAAAAAATATAAATGCCCATTTACAGATGCTATATGTAATCATTGATGAATGGCTGATGTGCGCCTATACGAGCAAGGCTACCACACGTCAGAAAACAATCAACCAGTAATTAAATCCTTTTAATAAGCCAAGCCATGAGCTCACACTGTAGCGCACACACGCACACACACACACACACACACACACACACTCTCTCTCACACACACACACACACACACACACACACACACACAGTGGAGAAGTTGTGATTTCCGCGCCCCAGACTACCCTCACAGGAGTCTTTTCTTTTGAGAGGGACCCGCGGTCGCTTCCCTTTACAAAACAGCGGCAGGGCCCCTTTTGTCCGAGCGGGGACCCCAGACCCATCATTAGCACTGATTACCGCTGACCAGTTTGACAACCTTATTGACTGCGAGAAAGACTTTTTCATCTAGTCCCCCGGTCGTCCTTATTTTCAATAGAAACGGAAATATTCAGCCATTTTGTCCCCGTGATTTGAAAGAGGAGCTGCAGCAAAAAAAAAGAGAGAAAGAGAAAAAAAAAGAAATCCCCCCCCAATCCCATTTATTTCCCTTCACTCGTTTCCTCTCTCTGTTTCTCTCTCTCTCCATACAGATTTAGCTTCTGTGTTGTTCAAGCTGAAAGGCTTTTGTGTGTCTCAGAAGTTACTGTAGCCTAATTAATTGCAAATTGGACAAAACCAGGTGTCTGTCCCATCAGTTGGAAAAAAAAGCTCAACTTTAACTTCTGGTTCAGGCTGCTTTGCTCACTTTGCTCTTATTCTGTTTTCCCTGTTTGTTCAGATTTAATGTCTATTTATAGCCCAGTAGAAATGTTTGATAATACCCTGTGCATGTAAATATATTTTACTGATTGTTTTTTCCATCTGGAACGGGATATTTTAATTCCAGATTTAGGTTTGGGAAGATGCTACAGCAAATACATTTTAAAAATATAAAAAATATTAGCTTAAAAATAAGTCTTTAACAGAAAAAGTAGCTTTACACCACTGGAGGAAAAAAAAATGGACGACTATTGTGTTGATTTAAGTGTGAACATGTAATTGCTAGATTTAAAATCAAGCACATAAACAAGCCAATTCAAATTACAAAACAAAAATCAATTAAACAAACAACAACAAATAGGCTATTTTGTCCCAACAGATATAATTTGTATTTTAACATTAAATGGTACACAAAAAAAGATATTAAGCCAAAATAAACCTGTCATAAGTGGGGGCTGCAGCCCTTTTTCCGTGCTCATTTAAGGAGCACATTTACACCATGCACGGCCTGTTTACTGAATTAAACTCTTGGGAAAATGGACACTTGGGAGATTTAAGAAGTCTGTTTCTACACGGTCTGTCCTCCTCCACGGGCAGAATAAAGCCTATTTCCACAATCTGCTGTGTTTTGATCTCTATGATCTCTCTCGCAGATCATCCGGGTTAGTGAGTCGGCCTCTCTGTGACCTCTCGCTGTCACCCTGCATTAGAGGACGCAAAGCACGTTGGCCAATTAAGCCTCGCTCTAAAAACGTGTCAGGGAATACAGCACTAAGGCGTTATAATCACGAAAAGTTTCCTCCGCATGAAAACAGCGGAAAGAGAGCTTTTATATAAGAATATTAATATTTTACAACTGTGTTCATCACTTCATTACAGCAATAAAAAAAATAGACTAAACTTTATATTCTCTTGATCAACAATTATTTTTATTAAGTTATCTTTACTTTTTTTCTTCTTTTTTTTTCCTTTTACTGAAACACATTTTCACTAAAGCGCGCATGCTCAACAGGTTCACCTGTGTACAAGGTAAGTATTAAAAACACCAAGCAAATGAATATGAAATTCGAAGAGACAGAGCAGATCGTTTTTTTTTTTTTTTAAATAGGCAAATAAACATTATTTATAAAACTTTGAAAGTAAAGTAAAAATATCACAGTTCTTTTTCAACATGAAATACCCACAGAGAACAGCAGGTTAGGCGCTCGGATGCCATCATCCCTTTTTTTTTTTTCCTTCTTCTTGTTTTTTTTATTTTACTTTTCATCTCGGGGCGTTGGTTTATTAGTCCGTCAAATATGTTTCGTCCATATTAAAGTTCAGTTATCCACACGTGGGTAAAACGCAAACAAAACAAAAAAAGTAGGCCTAAAAGGATAAGGACGGGCAGTCCGCCGCAGATAACAGATCCCATCATGTTTTGGCACCCGTCAAATATCAGTTTGTGTGTGTGTGTGTCTGTGTATGTGTGTGTTTTTATAACTCAATGCAGGCACTATGACTTGTTTTATTAGATTGTCTTTCAGTCGTATCCCCCTTTAAATTCATCAACACCCTCGATCTGCCCGTCAGATGTCACATTCACTGTCGCTGGAGGTGATGGAGATGGCCGAGGCTGCTGCTTTGCTGGACAGACTGGCCTCCGGACTGGACGAGTTCCCCAGGCGGTCCACGGTGCCGTCCTCGTCCGCCAGGGAGCGAACCGAGCCGCCGGACAGAACCTGCTGCTGGAGCCTGGACAGGAGACAAGGGAGAGACAGGACATATAAAAAGACATCCACAGCGTTCATTCTTTCCATCACAATCTAAATTATATATTTTTCTTCCTGAGAACAATTTGAAAGAAAAAAAAATGAATGAGAAGGAAATTATTATTCTCCCAAGGATGTTCTTGAACTGAGGGTCATTTTATTTTGTATTTTTCGGATGTGTGTTTCTTATTTCTTTATTTTTCTGAGGGTCTAAAAAAAATATCTGAAAAAAGTAGAAACGAAACAAATGGTTTTTAACTGAATTTTTTTTCACTTTCACTTTTATAAAAACACACATTAGGCTATAACATTACATTAGGTTAAAGTGGCCTTTTTACGGTACTCAGGGTTTAAAATATTGGCTACCTTATAAAAACAAATAGCACTACTATAGGCTACAAGTACCACAGCAAGATCGCTTATTTACACTAAGATACGATAAGACTAAGTATAATTTCAGGAATATCTCATTAATTACTGTAAACTATAGGTTGTACCACTCACTATTAATACCTACTGGAATATTATTATCATTTTATCTGTATTAAACATGCCCAACAGCAGTGTGAACTCCACCCACAAGGCCTTTAACCGACTGGCTACAATCCTATTTGGAAATTAGGCTACTGTGTATTATCCATTAAAATACACTGAAGCTGTTAGATTATTATCGTTACAGATGCACTGGCCTACTGGCTTGCACTAACAATCAAAATAAGCATAGAATAACACGTAAATGGAGCTTACCCCTCATGTTAGCATGGATGTTGTTCTCCAGTATTGTGATAATCTTATTCACTATTTTAAAAAATAATAAATCCAGAGCTTTGTTCACACATTAATCCAAAATAAAATGAAATTAAAATGAAATCATTAAATTTGTTGGGCCATTTTTTTTGGGGCATTTCAACCGACTCAAAATATAATGTCATTACAGACACTGCGAGCAGCATTTATTAGAAAAGAAAAGAAATCCCCTGATTTTAGGATCTAATATCCAGAGGAATCTGAACTGAATGTCTGCAGCCAGCGTGGGCTTTGGCATGTTTTGCTATATTAAAACTGAACGCCAATGAAATCTCACGATGCAGGGTGGTATTTTCCCAAAATAATTTGTTTTTCTGTTGCAGCTATCATGATCAGAAACCAGCCGAGAGGTGCATGTATCTCACCTGTTCTTCGCAGCCGCCGCTCTGTCTCTTTGTCTGCGATTTTTGAACCAGTTTCCTACTTGTGTGGGTGTAAGTCCTGTAGCCTGTGCAAGCTCCCTCTTTTTACTGGGATTCGGGTACGGATCCTGCAAATACCATTCTCTTAACAAGTGCCGGGTTCTCTCCTTGAAGCAGTGGGTTTTCTGCTCTCCATCCCAAATGGTTCTGGGTAGGGGGAACTTCTTCCGCACCCTGTATTTGTCCACCGGCCCCAGCGGGCGTCCCCGCAGCTTCTCAGCCTCCTGGTAGTGCGCTTCGAGCCACAGCGCCTGCAGCTTTGTGTGCGACTCTTTGGTGAACTTGTGGTTCTCCAGGATGTGGTAAAGTTCGCGGAAATTGCCGGTGTGAAAGGCGACGACGGCCCGGGCCCTCAACACCGACTCGTTCTTGTTGAGGACCTCGCAGGCCGCTGGCGCGACGGGCAGCGACCAGAGGAAGCGGCCGAGGCGCTCGACGTCCCCGCTCTCCTCCAGAGTCTCGCAGACCCCGGCGACCTGCTGGGGGCTGAAATTCAAGATGGGCAGCTGAAACATGGAGGCTTCTCCTGTGTTTCCCTCTCTCCCCCTCCTTTCTCCTCTCTCCTCTCTCTCTCTCTCTCTCCTCCGCGTCGACTCCTCCGCTTCTTCTTTCCCGTGCGCCAAGGCAGTCCAAGGCACCCAAAAAACAAGGCAATCCCAAAGTTACCGAACCAATCGTCTGACCAGCCGTGGAAAACGCAAACGCCAAACGCCGCGGAGGAGGAACGATGCTGCGTGGGGGCCGGCTACCGCATCCTCGGGCTTGGCAAACTTCGGCGGGCAAAGGGCTGAAGGTGCAAGACAAATTAAAGCCGGAGCCACGATGTATTTTTCAAGGTAGGCTGGGATTGAAAGTACGAAAGAATTAAAGCTGGAGCCGAGATGTATTTTTTAAGGGGGGAGAAAAAGACAGTCAAGCCCCCTCCGATGATTTCCTATTGGACTTGGCAGATTGGCTGCCCGGTTGCCATGGATGCACGTCAATCACTGTCAAGTTCGGCCAATCAGGCGGAAAGGAGATCTCAGCACCTCCCTTTTCAAAAATAATATAAACATTTTGACCTTTTTGCTTCGCGTCTTCAAACGTTTAGCTGCCCCGCCGTGCTTTCCAAACACCCTCTGCCTTTGTGCGGCGGGCGGTGTTAAAGAAAGACTCTTTAACTACAAGTGCCAAAGCAGGCAAACACGCTCAGCTCAGTCTCCCTTTAGAGCTCTTGAAACGGGCTTCACACAGCAATATGACACCCTACCCTGTCTGTCCTGCCCTAAGGGGAAAATACGTAAATAATATTAGTACAGTTTAGACAATATTACAGCTTATTTACAAAATTGAAAATTACACTGGTGAATTTTGCCAACTAAATAGGCCTAGTGCGTTTTTTATAGTATAGGCTAACTTCACTTATGATAGGCTATCTTTTTATTTCACCACTCATAATATAAGAACCACATAGCAAAAGGGTTTCTATTCAATTTAAATGTAGCCTATGCCTCCATTTTTTAAAATAAAGTTATAGTTCGTTAATACTCAGATATATCCCTAACCGTATAAGCCTATATTCCCACGCTGAACTGTAGAAATCATTCAAAAGGGTCAATGTGGCCTTTATTTCGGCAGGACCATGAATTTGCAGCCAACTTCAGTCTTCGCAACCTTGAACACAGTTAGTCGAGGCTTCCCGCATTTTTCAACCTCACAAAAGTGATAATTTATTAAACATAATAAATTATATCAGAGCCTAAGTTATGATGCGCTTTTTACGTGGGGCATGAATAGCCTACGTGCTCCTTTTTTGAAAACAAAGGCTAATTGATGGCTGATATATTGGCAGTTTGGAGCTCTACAGTAGTATACCTGCCTTTACTAGAACTATTAGTGCCGACAGCATCAGCGGAGGGAGGCTTCCTCCAGACTGTGATAGCTGCATCAACATAGCAGGAGAGAAACGTTATATTTGTGAAGCCTATAAAAGGACTATCATGGCCCTGCCAGGCTACTCGGCTTTAGTATCAGACACACTCCGTTTTGTGCACAGGCTGATTTAGTAAATAAGAGGGCGGATAGATAGCGCAGATGGTTTGAAGTGTCGGGTCAGATTATTTCATGGCTGGATACAGTAGTAAAGTTCATTCTGACGGAAAAGCCTGATATTATTTTCACAGACCCCCCCCCCCACACACACACACACACACACACACACACACACACACACACACACACACACACACACACACGCATTCTCTCTCTCTCTCTCTCTCTCTCTCTCTCTCTCTCTCTCTCTCTCTCTCTCTCCCTCTCTCTCTCTCTCTCGCAAGCGCACGTACACACCACCCACACACGAGCTGAATCCCCTTCGGGCTCTTTTTGCATGAATTATAGACTCTTGATGCGGGATTATGAAATGCCTTCTGCACAGGAAGCTGTTCATTCTCTTGCTGGTTTACTGCAGACCGCATCATCTTTGCAGATTCAATAAAAAATAAATAAAATATATCTTAATAATAAAGAATTTGCATATCATCTCTGTACGCGTATCTCATCCATGTTGATGGGACCTATTTGTTTGTCAGAAATAGGCCTGATTTGACAAACAAATCGGCCGCATTACATTTGTGAAATTGTCAAGCAGACACAGAGGCCACTATGAGTAATGAACAGATTAAGACGATTCTGTCTGTACGGGGTCGCCATTCAGTCTCCCATATTATTACACCAACCAGTAAATATTGGTAAATAAAGGATAAGAACTCCATCAGATGCAGCAGTGGGAGAAGATTGCGAGGGCGACTGACAAGGTGCTGGTCTGAAATATTTAGCTTCCTGTAAATATTTCATCCCTGCAGGCTGCCCGTCCCAGCCTAAAATCTACAAGGACTGCAATACTTTTTCTAGGAAGCGCGCATCAATAAAATATAGTTGAGTTTTGGATCCCTTAAACGGAGGGCTGGAAATAACAATTGTAGACTATGCTCTGTAAGCAACACGTCTAGGTTATAGGTACTGTTAAAACATTTATAGGATGGGAAAAAAAAGAAGATCTGGATACATTTTTTTCCCTCATAGTGAATTCGTGTTTTAGTGACTGCGCTAATAAACAGGTGGCTATGTCCTACATATATTAATCTTATGGAAAATTGACCCTTTTCCTCACTTATTATTATTATAATTATTATTTGAATACCTCACATGCCTGGTGGTAGCCTTCCTTATATTTCCTCTGCATTTAAAGCCCCTATCATTTTATGAAATTATAAATATACGTGATGTTAAATAGACTGACTGAAGTGGTATAAGCTCTACTGTATCCCAATGAGTCCAGGCCTATGTCACTGTGTCAGGAGATAGTAGGCCTCCTGACACCAATATCTCCGCACATTCAGCACAGCAACACAGTGGATCTCATTCAAACATTTTTCTTTTGTTTGTTTGTTTGTTTGTTGCATGGATCCCACAGTCATCATTGCAGCCCTGCCTCAGGCAGACAACATTTTGATGCTGTTGTAGGTTTCTTAGACATGTTTGTTGTTTTAATAAAGATTCCCTCCTTTATTTTGCTGTACTATTGTACCCCCATACATTCCCTGAAGTCTGGAGATCAGGTGAATAAGATTCAAAGGTGGTCAGGTAGAGAGGGTGGACAAAATAATCATGCAATGCAAGGCAGGACACTCAAACTGTGACCAGAGAAATAACCACAAATTTAATTTAACAATTCTCTGACAGAGCTGAAACAAAAACAGACCATAATAACCAGCATCGGTCATAGGCTATAACACTACATTGCATTTCGGTCTATAGTCAGTAAGGACAGACTGATTACTGACCTAGCAATAATACAGCCAATATTCAGCATTTTTCAGATTTTTCCAAATGTTATTATTATTTTTTTTAATCATACAAAATAGATTAATTGAAAAATGGCTTTTATGCAGCCGCCTCTCTCTGTATATTCTGTAGTTTTGATCAAAGTCCGGATCTGATTGGTTAAACATCACAAGCCTATCAACACTGGAGGTTGCTGTGCACAGATGGGGAAATTCAAATACTCTTGTAAAGTACAAGTGCCTCTGTACTTAAAGGTTATAGGTAAATTTTTACAGCAAATGTACATCGGTTCCAAATACTGGTGTCCTTGATTACTAATAATCTATAATAATATCTATAAAAACATATTGCTGGATCCCTAACTGTCAGGTTATCCAGTTATTTTGGTCAGCCCTCTGCAGATGTTAGACAGGAGCATATTGCTTCGTTTAATATTTTAAAAGCAAAACATTAACTAGAAGTCTTCTGTTGTTGAAGATCATACAATATGAGTGAAAGCTCCAGAACAGCTCATAAATTGACTTTTAGTAAGAGAAAGTGTTTTTGTTTTAAGCCTCAAAAATATTAATTAGCTTTCAAATACAATAAAATAACTTAAAATAACATGTAAGTAACAAGTAAAATAACATTAGATCCCTGTTTGAATGTACATGTTATTTCAACTATACAGCAGTAACTGTAACACTATGGGGGATTTTGAAGGCTGAGTAGCACTTCATAGACGTAACGAGCAGCTTGTGCAAACTGATACAGATCTTTCACTGCACTGAACTATTTGAGAAGATTATTGCTGATGAGCCAGAACTTGGTACACGTTCAGTGTCAACATAAAGAGGACTACAAAGTGAAGAGAGGATTGTACAGCACAGAGGTGTGGTGCACCCTGCTGCAGACCATAACTAATTTTCTTCCCAATTTACAATAAGAGACGAGTAAATTTACTTTGGCTTATCATTAGCATGTAGCTGGGTCGTAGCTTTCCCTGGGCAGAGGGAGGGAAGGAGTGGGTAATAGTTATATGTGAACAGGCTGGAAATGACCCAGATTCCCCAGGATCACTGGAGCAGACGAGACGCTACAAGAGCTTGTCACCAACAGCCATCCTGCCACTATCCCATACAGACCTACAGCACCTCCCTCTCACTCCATCTGCACTGCTCCTCTTCATACACATAAACCAAGAGATGTAGGTAAACACGCACACAGGCACACCAAACAAGTGCTTACATCAAAACATTCCAGGTATTAAATCTGAATCTCATATCACTTTAGTGTTAACAAGCTCAGTTACTGTGGATGTCCACTGATCTGTCTGTGTAGACACCAAGCCAGTTTGAAGCACTTAAACAGCATCAGTGATGGCAGTGATGGCAAACGGTGCCACCAATGCTAATGTATGCTGTTAGTTGCCTGGGGCGGGTATGCAAAGATAGAGGATGCAAACATTACTGTGTTTGTTCACAGGCTGCCTGCTTGACTTCGGTGTTTCAGTGACTTCTCTCTGCACGACAGACTGTTTTAACTTGTAGTCAGCTGTCCCATCAGCAGGATTAACTTTCCAATTAAGATATCATGTCAGCAACACTACCCATAACCCCTGGATGACCTGGATGTATTTAAAAGGCCAGGCTCATGCAGTGGGAGAAGTCACTTCGCTCATACGTTTCCTCGTGGCTCCACAGTGACAGGAGGGTTATGCCAAAGCTCTCTGAGAGTTGTGTTTTCAGACCCATTTGCCCTCAGGGCAGCGCTAGCTCTCGACGCTGCGTTTAATCTGCGGATTTGTGGTAACAGAGAAGACTTCTTATCCGCTGACCCATTGGCCTCCAGTGTACGTAATCCAGTGCCGTTCAGCCACACAGCCCTGCTGACATGGATAGAGGAGAGCCAATATACTACAGCCGTCCGTGTGGGGGGCGCGCACACATGGCAAGCCCTGCCCTGACACACATACTCCTCCCCCCAAGCTTTTGTTTCACAGCGCATATACTACACCACTGTTATTATAATCAGTGCATGTGATATTTGACCTTATGCCCACTAAGCCAATTCACACAAGCATGGTGAACAGAATATGTAATTCAATAATGCCCATTTCAAAACTGAGATTGACAGTGCTGCTATGAAAAGAGTAATTTCACTAATAGAACAGTACATAATGTAGCAAGACCATACAAAAGCAGGAGTGGCATTACACCTTGGTAAGAGAGATTTTCTGTTGTGTAAATCTCTGCAGTGCTCATACAGTTACAACAGGCT